AGACGGGGGTGGGGGGTGTCTCTGCACAGCTCGGGAGGGGTGCTCCTGCACGTGGGCAGCTGCATTTGCTAAACCCCAGAGCCCTAAAGGCCAGACCCGCTCCCTTTACAAACGAGGGAACTTAAGGAGCTGGGACCGCAGCCACACAACTGGACAACTCCACCTCGATACCTACCGCCGAGGTCACCGGCGGCGGCTTTGGCCACTTCCAGATTTCTGGCGACGATGGCCAGTCGGTAGCCCTTCTGGGCCAGTAACTGGGCCACTGCCCTGCCAATGCCCCGGGAGCCTCCAAAAACAGCACAGACTTTGTCCATCTTGGACCGGGGAGTCGGAAACTTGGAGGAAAGAGGCCTAGAAGTGCCGGCCCCTTTCCAGACTTCCAGACTCGCGACTTTTATAGCACCGCCGCTGGGAGCTCTAACCGCCGCGAGAAAAAGCAGCCTGTTCCCCGCCTCCCGCCCCGACTCTGGCCAACCAGGAGGCCGGGAAGAGGCACTAAGAGTAATGCGTCAGCGCGTCGACGTCTGCGCGCACGGGTTCCCAGGCGCCGCGCCCAAAGAGGACACTGGAGTGAATGAGCCGGGCTGGCCAAGGACTGGCCAGAAAGGGGATGCACTGCATGCTGGGACTTGTAGTCTTGATGCAGAAAGGGAGGTGGCATAAGCCTGCTGCTAAATGTGAAATGTACTCCTTACCCCATGGGACGTGGGGGGGCGGGGCTGTGGTCAATATTAGAGCTCTGATTACCAACCACTCCAGTTTGCCTGGAAGTAATTGTGTTGTTACGACGCTGGACTTCACGTTTTAAAATCAGGACAGTCCCCATTAAAACGATACAGGTTGGTCACCATAGAACCCAGAATATAGGCAGTTATAAGTGAATCTTCGATTGGGGTGATGGCTGCAGGTGCCCTTAACCCCAGGGTTGTTCAAGGGTCAACTGTACATTATTCGGAGTTCCAGTGTCTGCCTTTCACCCAGTGTTTGTCTTTGGCTGGCGAATGCATGCCCTACTTGGAAGAAGTGGTCCCTAAATATCAGGCTCATACCAAAACCTATCCTACCTGTCCCTTCCCCCAAGTTGCCACAGAAATGGGCCTCAGCTCAGCTGGACATTACCATTCATCTCAAGAGGTGTTGCCCTATCAAAAACACCATATAAGAGGAGCTCAAGAAAAGTTAATTGAATGATTGAATACTCTTGCAGGACTCATAAAATGAGCATCAGTTGCTGCAAACAAATATAGGTGCTAAGTACTCAGAGTTAATAAAGTAAAAGTTGAGCATTAGTTACAGTTATACTGTAAAAAAGGAAGCGTTTCTTGATATAATATCATTAGAGATGAAGTGTAAACAATAGCCCCTACTACTTAAAACATACACACACACAACCTGGGACAACAGGACTGAAACAAAGTGCAAAATTATATTAACAGAAAAAAAATCAGAAAAAAGGGAGAAGATATGAATGCATGGGAAAGCTGGACTTGAGGGCTGGAAGCAGAATAAAAGAAGGGGAAGAGAGAAAAAACTAAGCAAATTAAGCATTCTTTTTTAAATATTATTTTTATTCCACCTAGAACCTAGGTCCTAGATCCAAAAGGTATTTGAAATGACGTGCAAAAATATATAAGTAAAACTTCATGCCCATTAGGATGGCTACTATTCAAAAGAAAATAAGTGTTGGTGAGAATGTGGAGAAATTGGAATTCTTGTGCACGCTTATTGGGACTGTGAACTGTCACTTTAAATTCATTAGAAAATGACTTTACAAGGCAAGGGACCACCCTCAGCCCCCAAGGCCAGAACAATAACATGAGGTCAGTGGAAAAGTTATATAAATAAAGTCAAGCCAATAAAATAAAATAAAGTCAAGCCATAAGAATATATTTAATAGGAGAAGAAATAGAACATGGTTGGGGACCAGCTATAATTTTAAGAAATAGTAATCATGCTCTGTTTACTGTGATTATTGTGTTTGGATTAAAGACGGTACATTTTAATCTGGCTGGGAGTTGCACATGGAACTAGGGAGCTCACCTGGAAATGCGGCCCATCCTCCCCATCTGGGAGCTGCCTATTATCATGGAAAGATTAACAACCTTGTTGCAGAAACCAGAGGCACTAGCCCTTTAAAGACCCAAACCCTTTGCATAACCACAGGCCTTTGAAGATCCCAGTCTTTGCACACGCACAGGCCTTTGCAAATCTCCAGCCCCCATTACCTGTAAACTGCCCATTTGGCATACCCTTTTGCTTACTTCCGCATGTAATCTTTGTCCTTCTACCCAATATAAGCAGCTAGCTTATGGTGGGCGCAGAGCAGATTTTTGTGGATGACCTGCTGCTCCTTCATACTGCCAGCAGTATTGGAATAAATGCTAATATATGATTCAACCCTGTCTCTGCTTAATTGGCTCAAGTAGTGACAGGCAGCACAGACCCACTGATTGTCCGGTTACATATTCAGTACTAAAGAAGAGTTGCATATGTGATTCCGAGTTGCCTAGTGGCCAAAGCAACTAAGGAAACATGATTAGTTACAAGTAATAACAGCTATAAGAAATACATATTCTTGTGCAGCAGAGCGATCTGAGTGAAATTTCCTCCTCATAGGTCCTCATAAAGAACACAACACACTAAGGAATATGGCAGACTTTGCTGTCATGAAAAACTGTCTATAATAATAAAAGCATAATATGCTAATTAGACCAGACAGCCAAACAACCTTCTGAACATCCTTCCAGACAACCTTCCGGATGAAGCCACGGTGGCGTTGGGGTGGGAGTGGGGGTGGGGCGAGGCAGAGGTGGTAGGGGTGATCAGGCAGTCAAACAAGCGGCTAGGAGCCAGTGGTCCTGGATTGTGAGAAGTATGTCCAACTGCAAGTTTAGGCCCAATCCACGGGGATCTCTGCAGGATTGGGCCCAAACTGGCAATCAGACATTCCCTGAGGGGTCCCAGATTGTGAAACGGTACAGGCCAGGCTGGGGGATGCCCCTGCCATCCCCCCACCAATCCTAAATTTTGTGCACCAGGCCTCTAGTATACTATAAGGTGATTTTTATAGCATCTATTTTTGCAAGCAGAGGACAACACATCAAAGCAGACTTTACTGAAAGTGAATACTATAGGACAGTGGTTGGCAAACCGTGGCTCACGAGCCACATGTGGCTCTTTGGCCCCTTGAGTATGGCTCTTCCACAAAATACCACATACAGGCATGCACCTACCTGCGAATGGAACTTCGTGGCCCATGCGCAGAGGTCAGTTTTCGGCCTGGGCGAGTCTATTTCGAAGAAGTGGCATTAGGAGAAGTGGGCGGTGTCGGTCGGTCTGTCAGGAGACACAGCTGGCCGTGGGATATGCAGCGCGGGGGAGGTACATTGTTTTAAGGTATGTTCGCTGAGGTCAACCCCTTCCAACTCTCCCATCCACACTCATCTATGTGAAGCAATACAATAGGAGCTATACTTCACTAAAAGTGAATACAATGGGTGATAGCAGACCTTAAAGGGATATGCAGCCATTAAATAGGGAGGCACTTTGACCCCAAAAGTTACAAGATAAAAGCTGCATTTAGCAACTAATAGTCTAGCAATGCTATCAGGATGAGTTGAAGCAAATTTGTTCAAGCCCCTCTCTCACTACCCACGGATATGCAACCTTGGAAAGAAACATCTGTTTTACACAACTGACCAATGTGTGGGTCAGCCTAAAGGCCAAGAGTATTCTCGGATCCAGTATCCCAGGGCAAACCAGAGAGGTTCAATCTTTGTGGACAGTTCTGTCGATTGCAATAGGAAAAGGGCTATATTTTTCCTATAATTGTTATTTCAGCAAAAAGCATGGTTTATTAGATCTATCCCAGCGACCCCAAAGATCATTAACACACAATGTGAGGTGGCATTCAAACTTCTCAAAACCTTCCATTTTGTTCTCACTGTGTATCTACAGTAATGGTTAGGCTGAGCTTCCTTTTTTCAACACATACTTTAGTGTAAGCCCAAGACTACTATTGTCCCCCTCAGTACAACAGCACTGCTACCTGGGCGAGAATACACCCATCACAGCACATCCACCATGAGCCAGGTGTGCTGGAGGGGGAGCTTCTCCCTAAGCCCTTGACAGTGAGCTGAGAGGCTGTCAATTACACTAGGTCTGCTCTCCCCAGCGGAGCAACAAGGAGAGCCATGAGCACAGCCCACCTTCAGTCTTCTCTTCTCACTGCACAGGCCACTTCTGATACTGTTCTGACCACATATTTAATTTTTCTCTAATTTAAACCCACATCAGACTATATTCTTTCTTGACTCCAATAAACAGGGGCACCTGAAAATAGTCTTTATGTACTAGTATAAGGACAATTAGCTAAACTTTTAAATATACATACTTTATAGTATTTTGTCTTGTTAGGAAAGGAATACCATTTAATTGCAAAAGAATTTTAGAGAAAACGATAGTTTTAAATATGAAAAATTAATTGAAAGCATTGTATACATTAAGTGGGTAAATTATAGGGTATGTAATTATATCTCAATAAAGCAACTATTTCAAAATTAATTGAGCCCTGGCAGACATCGCTCAGTGGTTAGAGTGTTGGCCCTTAAACCAAAGGATCTTGGGTTCGATTCTGGTCACGGGGCGTATCTGGGTTGCAGGTTCCCTGCCTGGTTGGGTGTCATAGTAATAGTGATAATGATAGGAAATAAGTAGAGAGTGTTACATTTTTATAGCAATAGAAAAGAATTAGAGTGCTATAGGAAATGTAGAAACATTTCCTCGCGAGACTTCGGTCGCCCTCCTCCCGCTGACTCAACCCAACCAGATGGCCAGCCACCCAAAGACAGCGGGAAGTGGGTGACCGGAGTCTCACAATCGGAGGTTTGGCCATTCTTCTGCCGTCCAGCGTGGAGCAAGGCAGCGTGGCGCATGGACCAAGGTGATGATCGATGTCTAGTCGGAGACCCGTTTTTAAGCCTGTTCTGACCTACAGCAGTCCAGGTGGCTATCAGTAACATATGTCATCACACAAGTGTTAACCAGAGTACAAGATGATTTTCTACATTTCCTGTAACACTCTTTAATTATTCTATATTGCTATAACATTGTAACACTCTCGACTTATTTCCTGTCATTATCACTATAGTTATGACATTGGGGCAGATGCAGGAGGCAACCAATTACTGTGGCTCTCTCACATGGATATTTCTCTCTCTCTCTCTCTTTCTCTCTCTCTCTCTCTCTCTCTCCCTCTTCTTTCTCTCTCTCTCTCTCTCTCTCTTCCCTTCCCCTTACACTCTCTCTAAAATCAATGGAAAATTATCCTCCAGGTGGATTAACAACAACAAAAAATTTTAATTGAAAGCCCATTATCTTAGTAGATGAAGTTTGAAACTGCAGCTAAAGGTAAGTAGGCTGAACCGTCCACAGATAGTTATGTCATAAAC